AATGCAGTTTGTAACAGGTTAAAATAATGAGACTCATTAATATAATCCTTTCAGTAATCCTGGTTTTGAATAACAGGAGCTAAAGTTTAGTTTGTTGCTTTTAGATGTTTGTAGAAGCTTTTCCTCTCAGTTTAGTAAATTAATGCAGCATCAAACGGCAGCAGGATCCATGTGAGCAACTCCAAAAAGAGAGAGCTGCCCACATTTGGGCGCAACAGTCGTAACTTCATTCTAGTTTTGTGGTAATTTTGTGTCTTTTTGTGGTCTTTTTGTGTTTAAGTAGTTGCTTTGATTTTGTGTCCCTGTTGCCGTTTTGTGCCTCTTTGTGGTCATTTTTGTCTTTTTGTAACAATTTGTATCTCTTTGTGATCGTTTTGTATCCATGTAGTCATTTTTGTTTTTTGTCTCTGTCGTTTTGTGTCTTTCTGGTCATTTTGTGTCTCTTTATTGTCGTTAATTCCTGATAATTCTTAATTAGCTACAACATGCAGACAGGATCTTGCTGGATCTAACAGCAGCTCACACTGTTAACTTTTCTACACCTCAGACTTGTGAGCTGTCACACACAGTCACCGTTTATCAGCTGCAGGTAAATTATGTTACAGCTCGATCAAGGCTGTCGAGACATTTAGATTTTACTGTAGGTTTTACTGTGATGGATATTTGCCGCAGCAACGTTACTGGACCAAAGAACTACATACAGAATGTGACCATTCTACACATTAAAGCAATTATCAAAATATGGTAACAAGTAGCCGGACCAATAAACTGTACAATAATACTAGCCACTCTTATGAGAAATATATGGGCAACATTTGGAAAATTTATCAAATGAAGTGCAACGGAAACAGACCTGACACGAAGAATGTGATTTAATATCTTTAGAAGCTTCACACTACTGAAGTGACAAATGGAAACATCAGATCTTCATTGAATGACGCTGAGATTTTCAGAAGTCAAATCTCTGTTTCACGATTAGAGGTTCGACTATGTAGACTTCTTCTTCAGTGATAGCGCTACCTGCTGTTCTACTGGTCTTAATCAGCATTTTCTTTTGCAAATTGAAAACGTGCACGACATTTAGATGGAAAGCAGCTGCAAACTGTGCTGTCAGGCTCTTGAAGCTCAAAATCACCTTCACTTTACAGTTAGCATTTTTGAGCTCGATATCTGTAACAGCTGTACTTTTTCTTGGCTATTTGACAGGTTTTTTTCCCCTGATTCCATTTTGCACTAAAACTCTTTCTCAGTCATCATAGATTTATTTCTTCTGTGGCAGCAGGACATGTTACAGGAGCCTTCAGAAACTCCTGTGAATTGAATTGGCCTGACTTTTCTGAACGATTCTCTATAAACACACAAACATTCCTTAGCTGAGCCACTTTAGGCTACAAACAACCCGAGTGGTACACTGGTATTGTGTCCATTCAGAAATTTCCAAACCCAATTTCCAGAAAAATGATATTGTCTCATCAGGTGGTAGACGACAAACACTTGTAGGTGTTGACACTAACTTCAAATGCCCCCTCAGTCATTTTGTTCTGGTCAGCACACACTCTGTATATAACGGCAGCAGACCCTGCAGGTTAGATGGACGAGAACCGATGTTTTCCAAGGCCTCATTAGTGGAGCTGTGGGCTCACATAAAGCCCAGAGAGGGAAAGGTCTTTCCTCCCGAGGCAAACTCTACCAGTGATCAGCAGCTGGTCCGCCCGAAGCCAAGGCAGCATGACTCTGAGTGCTTAAAGAGAGAGTCGCATGGAAGACACAGAATCCTGAAGCCCAGCAGCAGGAATCATAAACCTGCAGGACAACGCTGGTGTTTTATCACCTATAAACCCACAGAAAGCTGAATTTGATATTCCTTCCTAGAGGAAGGCTGTAAATGTGATAACGCCCTCAAGGTGTTCAGCTGGCCTTTCTCCTTGGATGAAAACTGCTGCTGCAGGAGCTTCAAACTGGAACAAGGTCAAATGGTTTCGTTTTCTGCACTCCCGTGTTTGCAAATGCGACTAATTCTTGAGCTTGTGCGAGTTAAAATTGCACCATTCATTCAGGCACATGATCATCATTCGTCTGTTTTGGTGCCCCTTCAGTCGGCACAGGTTACTACTATGTTAGCCGTAGTGGTGGAAAGAGGTCAGTTCGTCCCTGACACATGAAACAGTCTTTTAGTTGTTGCATATTCTAAAGATGAAGCGATCTGAGGAGAGAGACAAAGTGGTTGGTGGTGAGAGAGAAGTACTGACTCAGATACTGCTGATGATGATGAGGGTGCAGGTTACAGTGAGATACTAACTGAGCCATCCATCCATCCATTATCTATACACCACTTAATCCTCACAAGGGGGCTGGAGTCTATCCCAGCCGACTTAGGGCGAAGGCAGAGGACACAACAGGTCGCCAGTCTATCGCAGGGCTACACTTAGGGACAGACAACCAAGCACACTCACATTCACACCTATGGACAATTGAGAATCAACAAGTTTTTGGACTTGTGGGAGAAAGCCGGAGAACCCAGGGAGAACCCACTTTGCACGGGAAGACCATGCAAACTCTACGCAGAAAGGTCCCGGTATCCTCACCGGGACGTGAACCGACGACCGTCTTGCTTCAAGGCAATGTTGCTAACCACTGAGCTACTTTACCCTTAACTGAGCCAGACAAAAGGAAAAAGTACGACATTCAGTCACAACGGCTAACACAGTAATAAAGTTTCAAAATTAAATAAATAATAATCATGATCATGACTTTGGCTTCCCACAATTAAACAAACAAGATCAACTGAGTATTGACATTTAAAATGCACTCCGTTCATAAAAAACTTTGCACAAAGGCAACAGTCCATGTAGATAAAATCACTCAGTTCTGATTTGAGTAAATCTGACATTAAAACATATTTTTTCTGTATTTTCCAACTAACTTCTAGTCTTAAACCTGTCTGAGTGTATTGCACTTGTCTAGCACCAACTACCATACTCAACATGTGAGGCGTTTAAGGAACATCAATAAATTGTAGTGTCCATCAACAAGTAGATGTCCAGTAAGTGAGGAGTTCCTCCATCCAACCTTCTACTGACCAACAGTTCTCTCAGAAAACAGCATCATTGGAAGCTTGATGGACAGATAGCTGGAGAAAATGGTCAGACGTTCCAGAGCAGCAAGCTATTTAAAAAACATTTCACTGTTTTATGTGTCTTTGCAGAGTGTTAGAAGCCCAAATCTTGAATCTTTCTCTGAGCAACTTCTCCACAAAGGGACAGTGATATTGCATAATAGACTTATTTCATTTCCTGACTTTGGCTGCAGCAGTAGTGCTGTTTTTAGATTTTAAACTCCACATATTGGTTTAGAAGTATAAGTTGTTGTACTTGTGAGAAAGAGTTGCACACATTTATCTATAGCTTTCTATTTTCTATATAATATGAGAGTCTGCCTACTTATTGCTTTGAATGATGATTGGAATATAAATTTTTTACTTGCTTCCAAAACGGTTTAACACTGCCAGGGGGGTCAGCTGAAAGGATGAGGCTCAAACTGTCTTTGATCTAGGCAAAACACAAACATTTTATAGAATGCACGAGTGCAGTTATAGTCAGAGCTACATGTGCCCTAATAATTTGGTAGTAATATCGATTAGCCTGTCAAGTTACATGTTCACACAGTGCAGAGTTTTTCGCAGTGTTCTCTCCTGCCTTTGCTACTGCAGATGTGTTACTTTCAGTCTGCAATGTGTGCTTAAATTCTTCATATTTCTCTAATATTATAGTTTGCTCGGGGTTTAAAAAACTTGTCACTCTGGTGCCAGTAGATCTGTCCATGTTTGTGGTCATCTGTTGCCAACTCCATCTCTTTCAGATGAAAGCGCCCATAGCCAGGTTCGGGGGTTGTGGTTCTCTTACCAAGTTGAAAACTTGCTTCATGTGACACTTAGCCAAATAGTGGTTGTTAGGTTCAGAGAGGCCAGATAACCAAAAGACACCCTGGGTACGTGGAACTTGCCTCGTAGTACAAGCCTCTGGTAAGCTAAACCACAAACACACTCAACAAACATGAAAAACTCTGCTTTGTGTTCATTCTGGAAGCCTTTCTTTGCTCTCAGCAGCAAATAAACCAGCAAAGAATCACAGCAAAACTACTTATTACATCCTAATCAGTAGTTCTGTATGCATTATGCGAAGCTGATTCACATGATGCATTAAAAGATTTAAACAAGAAAAGAAAAATATAACAATATCAAACTGCTAAATAAAACAAGAGAATTTTTAAAGAAATAAAAATCCATTCTTTTGTTCCTCTTTTTTTTAACTTGCACACATTAAATGATCCTAATAATTGCAATTTTAATTATCAGAGCTAAAGTCATGCCCTGCCCACCATCAGCAGCGTTTGTTTGGCTACGTAGTTCCCACATTCCTTCACATACCGACGTCACTGATTGTGTTGTGGTTAATCAGCAGCTTGCAGCTGCCGTACGAAGGCTTTGTGTGTTCTTCACGTATACCTCAGGGGCAGTTTGGAGGTTTGGGGGTAAGAGCGGTGGAGGGTCAACCTCCAGCCACATTCAGGTCCGCGGGTCAAATTGCAGAGAGCCTCTACACACTGGGTGTAATTACCCGACATAAAGAAGATTCCCTGACAGGGAACTTTTATGATGTTTGATTTTCCCATTCAGGAGAATAGCAAGAGGTAGAAGACGGGGGAAAGAGGGGAGAGGGGAAAGAAATTATAACAAACATGAGGCGTTGGATTTGTAATTTCTGTTCCATAGTAAAGTTGGGAGGTGGATTTAACTCCTGACAATAAAGAGCATTTAAACAGGCTGAGTGTTATTTTAGTGGAGATGTCGCGCCCTGCCCGCCTCGACACACTGAGGCTGTTTATGAGCTGCAGACGCTGCAAACTGACTGTAAACTAAAACACTATGAATGAAGATCTGCTGCTGCTCACACTGTCACAAAAAACGGGAACATTACCCACGTTGGACTCTGCAGACATACCTGGTCATCTGAGACGTCTCTGGGTTCGCTCTCTTGACCGTGGCGCCCAGGGCCCCGAGCTGACGGAACCGCCGCTTCCGAGATGGAGCCACATCTGTGATGTCACGCAGGCTGTCCTCCAATGGGCTCGGAGTAGAGGTCTCTGAGGAGAGAAGAAGTAAAAACATGAGAGACAGAGTGAAAATATAGTTTCATTATAATAATATTCATCTTACAGCCATTTTCACAGTGCACTCAGTATCTGCTGCCTGTCACTGATACAGGGATGGAGAGAGTAGGAAGAAAAAGACACAAAGAAGCAGCAAAGAAAAAAATGACTGACAGACAGACAAACAAGAAAGAAAGAAAGAAAGAAAGAAAGAAAGAAAGAAAGTTACTGTTGGTCAACAGAGTTCTTCCTGTAGTCGTCATGAATGTCTACAAAGAAGTGACTCAGTAACACAGTTCAGGATTCATCCTCTGGAAACCAAGATCCATCTGAACTAAACACCACCACGACTCGTCCAACAACTTTTCACATATTGTGTTAACACACTGAACAGTGACTCACTTGTTAAGGTCAAACTGCAACGTACTGGATTTCACATTTCCTACTGCCTGGTAAATGTGCACGTCTTTGAATCTCCTCCCGTCCACTGTCGCTACAGCGTCATTAGCGTTACATAAAAAGCTCCCCTCAGAGCCACAAAGAGTTTCTTGGTGGAACGTCCCTTTAATGTCAGTGGTTTAAAACTTCCAGGTGTGCAGCCTTTAAAACACACCGACACAAGAGGTCCTGGTTCACCTCCACTGTTGAAGGGTTGTTTTGAACATATCGTTCCTCTGCTGTCAGAGGCTCTGACGAGGCAGCTGAGGTCTCACTAACATCTGCCGCGAAGTCGTCTCATCAGCCGTCATCACGTCAAACGTTCAGGACGAGTGTGCAGAACAACTGAGAAGTTCTGAAATCAGCCACAAGTCAGCATGTTGGAGGGATCAAAGAGCGGAGGAACAAGATGTGAATGATGGTGGAGAATGTAGGAGTTACAGGCCCTTGAAGTACATAAGGTGGGTTTAAAATTTCCCCTTTTAAATTTGTGTTATTTTTTTCCAGCACTTTGAGCACCATAACTTCATAAGCACAGGTGACAGACACATGACATGTTCAGGTCTGGAAAACATATTTGAGCTGCAACCAAATCAATGTTACATCCACTCCAGGTGTCACGATCTGGAGCCAAAATCAGTTTTTTGTTCAGCACGAGCATCAGTATGATGGGATATATCATAGTTTTATTATATTCTTTTACTGTGCAAGTAAATGAACAGATGAGACTGCCCAGCTTGAATTTTGCGTTCAAATCTGGATGTCTGTCTCTGAGATGTTCAGATCACTTTGAGCGCTTTCCTTTGTTTTTATTCATCATCCTTGATCATCGACAAAAACTAATATTTCCCTTCAAAATTCTGGTTGTGTTTTTTTGTTGCACATGTAGTTGTTGTACCAGAAACGCAACAACTCACAGCTTCTACGCTGCCTGCATTGCCTACAGAACCACAGAAACACAAAGACCAATCCCTTTTCAGGCGTTTGGCACCAATTTCATATCAATGTCATGACATCCCCAAATAGGTTGAAGTTTCAGGGATGTTTGAAAACTTCCCACGGTTCCTTTTGTCTCTTCGTGTGATCTAAACCAACTCCAGGATGAGGAGATCAGGCCTCAGACCGCGTGCTGCAATACTCCTTGTTCTTCTTGTTCTTTATAACTCTGCCTGGATGTTTGAAGTCGTTCTACTGCAGGATGAATTTGGGACGGTACTGTATCTGGTTTCCACATCATCCTCACTGTCTGCTGTCAGTACACTGTGTCAGGTCTCTGAAGGCTGAAGCCTATAAAAGCTGCCTGTAAGACTCTGTGTCGAAAAATCAAACCATAGCAAAGCAGACAGGTGTCAGCAACACAGGAAGGGAGCTGTCAAATAAAAATCTTGTTTTTATTCCTTTTTAAAGTCCTGAAAGTTTATTTTCTCAGACTGTGGACGTGAAACAAAAACACATAATTTCTGCCACGGGAAAGTTTTGATTGTTTCTCTGCTCCAACTTTTTAACCTGTTACAAAAAATCATCACTAAATTTTAACTTTTTAATTCTGTGTTAGTCAATCATCTTGGCCATAGTATGAGGTCTGTATATGGTTGAGTTTTTACAGGATGTTTTAAAATTAGTTTCACCCACCAAGGCATGAACTCCACAAGACCTCTGAAGCCCGCTACTCATTTCTCCCACATCTAGTACATTAACTATGTCTTGAAAAGTTGTAAGAAATATTAAATTTGGCTCCTTTAAAAAAGGCCCTAGAGGTTTTTTCTTTTTGTTTTTGCTTGTTGCAGTCGGCAACACCAGTAGCTGACAAAGTATATCATAGTCAGAAGTAAATCATAGTAGATCAAGGAAATCATAATGGACAAGGGTCAGCTTTAGCAAAAACGTAAACAAATTATTTGTGTTAGTTCTCTATCTATTTGCAGTCATTGTAAGTAGGAATAAGCAAATCTTAGACAATTAAATCAGCCGTCATTATAACAGTTTAGAATCAATATATATAATAATGGTTGAAATGAATGGAGTAAAGCCCGTGTATTTCTATATGCTGAAGAAACTGTTTGCTACATAATCATCTCTCAGTGATTTCAATGAACCGTCTGACCATCTTTGTAGCCACTTTGTGTCTTTTTGTGGTCGTTTTCTGTCTTATTGGTGTGATTTCTGTCTCTGTGTGGTGATTTTAAGTTTTAGTGGTCATGATGAGTCTTTTTGGTTATTTTGTTTGTATGTTTTACGTGTCTTTGTGGATATTTTGTGTCTCATTGTGGTTATTTTGCATTAAGTTGTGGTCGTCTGTGTCTTTTTGTGGTTCTTTTGGGACTCCGCATCGGTTTATGTGTGTCTTTGTGGTCTCGCTGTGCATCTCTGTGGCCATTTTGTGTATTTCTGTTTGTTTTTTGCATCTTTTGTGATTTGTTGTGGTGTGATTTTGTGTCTCATGGTTATTTTGAGTCATATTGTGTCTTTGGATTGAGGGGGGAAAAAGAGGAGAACAAACTACCAGAACCTTGTTACCATGACGTCACCATCGTGCTGTCATAAATGAAACAAAACGCTTTCACTGGGTGGAACCTTTAGAAGGTTTCTGTACATAATCTCTATCTAATGCCTTTTCACTGGTGGAAGCAGACTCACGCACACACAACAAAACTACAATTTCCCCAAAGCTCCCTTCACCTTGTCCCCTCCCCTCCCTCTATCTGCTGGCCGTCTGAGTTATTGTCGTGGCAACAGAAGCAACACATGCCCTGGGAGCTTCTCCTCATCACCGGAGGGGGAAGCCCAGCAGGGGACACCAACGTCACCGACACAGCTTCAAACGAGCCCAACCTAGCTGTTAGAAAGTGGAAAAATCACAGATGTAAACAGATGAGAGGAGGGCAGAAAACTCCCCCAAAAACCTCCCCATTCTGCACTGCCCCAAACACCTCCCCTCCCGCTGATGGCACATTAATCACATCCAGAGCCGTCTGGGAGCAAAAGTCTAGAGGTTGATGAAGTGTAACGTCAACGTTAGAAGCTGGTTGTATTTAAAGGTGTTTTGGGACGTCAACTCAGGGGGACCACCGCTCTGCATTACATAACTCCACAGTGATGTCATGGCGAGTTTCTGGGCATGAAAAACACACAAGCAATGGCGCAACAGCTACTGAAGATCTCACAACCACACTCATAATTTACTGAAGGATTTTAATGTTAACGTAAACGCTGCCTGCTAGGTTTTAGCACTAAATATAAATGTGTCCCAGTGAGAAATGTTGCCGCTCCACTCTATGACGCCTCAGCAGGTGTTTTCCATCAGTCCACGAACACCTGCAGCAACACTACTCAGTCTTGTTCAGAGATTAAACCTTGTGCCTTAAACACAAGATGAATCATGTTCTGTAGGTGAAGCATTAAAGTTCATGTCTGAAGACTGGCTACATATCTGTCAGTGTGTTAATTCATCACACTGAAACCGAACACAGAAACAACACGAGCCGATTACGAGACAATGAGACACAGACGTGGAGAAGATTCCACAGAAGAAGAAGAAGAAGACTCACTTTAAAGGAGACGTAAGATGTCGCTTTGTGGACGTTTTGTCTCTCTTTGTGTCTGTGGATGTTTTGTCTCTCTTTGTGTCTGTGGATGTTTTGTGTCTACTCGTGGTCCTTTTGTGGTCCTCTTGCCTTCCTCTAAAATCATTTTGTGTCTCTTTGTGCTCATTATGTGTTGCTTTGTGGTAATTTTGTGTTTTTGTGGCTTTAATGTGTCTCTTTGTAGTCATTTTATGTCTATTTTTGGTAATTTTGTGTCACTTTGTGGTCATTCTGTATCTCTTTGTGGTCACTTTGTGTCTCTTTGTGTTCATTTTGTGTCTCTATGTGAACACTGCGTCTCTGTGGACATTTTGTGTTTATTTGTGGTCATTTGGCATCTCTCTGTAGAAGTTTTGTGTCTCTTTGTAATCATTTGCATGTCTCTCTGGTCATTTTGTGTCTCTTTGTGCTCACTTTGTGTCTCTGTTTTATTTTGTGTTTCAGTGTACACTGCATCTGTGCGGACATTTGTGTTTCTAAGTGGTCGTTCTCTTTGTGGCTGTTTTGGGTCTCAGTGTGGTCATTTTATGTGTCTGTGATTGTTTTGTGACTGCGATTGTTTTGTGTCTCTGTGTGGTCATTGTGTGTCTTTGTAGTTGTTTTCTGTCTGTGTGGTCATTATGCGTTTATTTGTGGTAATTCTGAGTTTTTGTGGCTTTAATGTGTCTCTTTGTAGTCATTTTATGTCCATTTTTGGTCATTTTGTGTCTTTGCAGCTTTAATGCATCTTGAATGCATCTCTTTGTGGTCACTTTGTGTCTCTTTGTTTTCATTTTGTGTCTTTATGTGAACACTGTGCCTCTCTGGACATTTTGTCTTTCTTTGTGGTCATTTTGTATCTCTTAATTTTCATTTTGTTTCTTTGTGGTCATTTTGTATCTCTTAATTTTCATTTTGTTTCTTTGTGGTCATTTTGCATCTCTGTCTGGTAGTTTCGTGTCTCTGTGTGGTCCTTTTGCATCTCTTTGTGGTTGTTTTTTTTTTAACTTCTGTGTGGTCATTTTGTGTCTCTGTGTGGTAATTTTGTGTATCTTTGTGGTTGTTTTGTGCCTCTTTGTGGTCATTTTGCATCTCTGGTAGTTTTGTGTCTGTTTGTGGTTATTTTGCCTCTCTTTGTGGCTGATATGTGTATCTATGTGGTCATTTTGTGTCTCTCTGCGGTAGTTTCATCTTTTTGTGGTTGTTTTGTGTCTTCTTGCAATCCTTCCATAAGAGAAATACACAAAGAATGTTCCTTGAAAAGTTCCCATTTTAGTGAATATCAGCACAGCTCTGTAAACTATGTGGCAGTCTGGGGAATTTATAGTATTAAACTTAGGTGTTTCTGCAATTAAAGGGCTCCGACTCACTGCACTGGATTAGGTTGTGTAGAGGAACATTTGCTGCATGTGGAGATCTTGTGCCCCCCTTTTTAGCAGATATCTGAGCAGTTCTACAATAAACGGCACAGCAGTAAGTTATTCTGAAATTTGGGAATATATGTCACCTGAGAAAACAACATTCACCACAGATATCAGATGTAAAACTCAGGCACAAAGATTCATGTGGTGTAAACTAGCTCCAGCCTGCTTGCTGTGTGCTTCACTGACAGAGCTCATACCCCTGGATGGTAAACTGGAGGCTGGAGGCGACTGCACCTCCTCTGGCTCCTCGTCCGTGCTGCCTCCATATTCATCGTCCTGACCTGCTGCTTGGTCTGACTTCACTGGACTCATCTTCTTCTGCTTGTCAGAACTCCTACAGAGAGCACACAGGGTATATGATTCATTCATAGTATGAAGCAACAGTTTCAAAATCATAACTACACTTTCATAATAAAAAACAACACATTTAACATCACATGACCCAATGTGACTCAGAGAACTGCTGTAATGAAGGAAATCCTTGTTGAGCAACAACAGCTGAAAATCTGCAGTCTGAAGCAGCTTCAGTATACAGTGTCGAAACATGTTGAGTCTGTGGGCAAACAGACGTAGAATTCAGGGGGAGACGTGACACACAACATGAGGACACTAGAGAGACAAAATAGACATAAATGGACACAACATGGCCACAAATTGGCACAGAATGACCAAAAAAATAAACAAAATGATCACGAAGATACAAATGACCAGAAAGTGATGCAAAATTACTACAAAGAGACACAAAACGACCACAAAGCACTGGGTCTTTTGCTCACTTTCAAAATATGAATTACTGGCTCAGAAAACCACTGAATCTACGTTATTGGATCCTAAAGAAAATGACAGTAAACGTGATTTGATGTTGATTTGAATTAGATCCTTATATATTCCATTGCACTTTGAATGGCTACTGTAAAAAAGAAAAGGAACAAATTGGTGCATATAATACCCCAGATTGCAGAAGATAAAAGTGTGTAACGCTCCAGATTGTTCAGATGAAACCAATGTGTGGACCGATTGTGAAACTGTAAAATCAAGCGCACCTTGTGTCCTGCAGCGAGGTGACGGTTTCCTGCAGACTGCGGATCTTGGCTTTCTTCTCGTTCAGGACCACGACAAAGCGAGAGTACAGCTCTGCCTCCAGGGTGTCTTTACCACCAGCATAACGCTTCAGCCTAAAACACACACAAACGCACACACAAGTCAGATAGACAAAGGCAGGGGCAACACAACACCACTGCTGCTGATCAGTGATGGATAGTGAAGTCAGGAAGCCGATTACAGAGCCATGAATCACAGGAAGAGAGCAGCACTGAGTATTAACTTCAGAGCAGGTTTCACCTTGAATAAATAAACTTTTCAAAATTATCATCTATGTTTTCCTTATTGTCATAAAACACCACATCACATATTTTATTGCCCAGAGAATGTTGGTTTTCAAAAGGTTGAAAAACACCAGCTGGCTATTAAACTCTGAAATATTTTCTCTGTCTGACTGTTTTTTATTATTTTGTCCTAAACTGAGATATTTCATTTTAGACAGAGGCATAAAAAGTCAACAAAGACAGACATTAGAGCAACAAGGCACAAATGACCAAAACGAAACACAAAATAAACACAAAGTGATACAATAGAACAACAAAGACAACAACAAAACACAATACACATGAGAGCAACACAGACAAAATCACCAAAACAACAGACAAAATGACCACAATGACACACAAAACAAAAACGAGACACAATACGACCACAAAGTAAGACACTGGACAAAGAGACACAAAATGTCAAAGTCAGACACACATTAGAGCAACAAAGAGACAAACCAACCACAAAAAGATGCAAAACAACCACAAAAAGGCACATTAAAGAAGCAAAGACACACAAAATTACCATAAAGAAACAATGAGACACATTATAGTGACAAACAGACACAAAACGACAACAAAAGACACATAATATAACAACAAAGAGACAAAAAAACACTAATGGAACCAAAGCACATTAAAGAAAAAACAGACAAAATGACCCAGAGACACAATATGACCGTAAATACACATTATAGCAACAAAAAGACACAAAATGACCACAAAGAAACCCAATGCAACAACAAAATTGAGACAAAATGACTACAGAGAGACACATTTTAGCAACAAAACTAGATAAAACCACGCCTCAGATGAGACGGCTTGTTGTTTCTTCAGCACTGGATTTTGTCTCTTATTCTGAAAATAGAACTTACGGGCTTTAATTGGGAAAAAATATACAAAGCTACTCCATCCTCCTTTTTGTTTGTTTGATAACTGATTGCTGTTAAATTGAAAACACATATCTGTGAGGTGTTTTTAAAGGTTAACATTTTCTCATTTTTGGGGGCTATTTTCAGTGGACTTGATGGGGTTCCTCTACTTTTCAGTGCATGATGAATGGACAGTACGTGGAGCCGTGTGAATCACAGAGGCCCCTCTGACCTCGCTGGGCGTGACAAATTCACATTAACACCGCTGTGACATCAGCTCATTGCTCAAAGTGACGTACAGCTGCAGGAAGAAGACCCCTCCCCAACCTGTGACTCAGAGGGAACCTCTGATGGATTTCGGGGAAATGAAACCTGTGATTTCAACCTTTCAGGGCTGCAGGTTTCCACCACAGACGTCTTCATCGCTATTCTATCATCTAATATTCCTCACTCCAATTGTTTTTAATGCATGCTGATACCTTTAACAAGTGTGGTTCATTGTGTTTTAAGAACAAGGAAGGAAATTTTGTCTTTTCACTTCTTGTCTGTGCAAAGCATCACATCACACTGCAACTTTTATGCAGCTTTATACAAAAGGAAAACTTGCAAAGTTCTCTTTTTCCATGAATGATGAACAAGAGAAGACCATCTGATAAAACATGTCTTATTCTGACTTAAGAGTTTTTAGATACACTGACTTTTCTTTTCTTTTTTTTTTTTAATTTAAAATGACACAGAGTTTGTTGACATGCAGGCTCCACACGTGCACAGCCAAATGAGTGAAAGACTGGAAAGAAACACTGGACAGGAAGATTTGTTTGGAAAACTGCATGGAAATATTTTAGCCACAGAAAGGATGCAGTTGACTAAAAACAGGTACTCGGTCAGCGGTATGTGCAGTTGTTGCCACCACAAGAGGCAACAATTAGTTTGACTATTTAAATCATCACCACAGAGCCATTTATGAGGAGTGCAAAGCCAAAACCGAATGAGAGTCAAAGCAAAAGACCATTTCAGTTGTCTTTGCCAGTGTTACACCATATAGAAGAGTTTATAAATGACTGTTCAAAATATTTTTTTTCTTTTTACGCAAGTGCACTTCTCTACGAAAATCACATCATTTTTTATAGATTAGATTGCTTATTTTTTTCCAAATAGTTATTCAAGTCATCTGTTGCTAATTCCTTCCAAGTCATGGACGAAAGTATTGGAACCCCTGGATTTTTTCCAGAAAATACACCATTTCTCCCAGAAAATGTTGCAATTACAATTGTTTTCGGTATACACGTGTTTATTTGCAAAAGTGTCGTACGTCCTCATCTGAAAGAGAAGAAGCGCTATGGCAGGAGATCGAGGAGAACCCCACTGCTGACAAAGAGACATTAAAAACCCAGACTGGAGTTTGTGAGGAGTTTGAGTAAGCCTCAATCCTTCTGGGAGAACGCTTTGTGGACAGATGAGACTAATGTAGAGCTTTTTAGAAAAGCACGTCATTCTACCGTTTACAGAAAACGGAATGAGGCCTAGGGCTGCAGGGTGGCGCAGTTAGTAGCACTGTTGCCTCGCAGCAGTTGCCGGTTCGCGTCCCGGTGGGGGCACCGGAATCTTTCTGCGTGGAGTTTGCATGTTCTCCCCGTGCAGCGTGGGTTCTCTCTGGGTTCTCCGGCTTCCTCCCACAAGGTCCAAAAACATGTTGAGGTTAATTGGTGATTCTAAATTGTCCGTAGGTGTGAATGTGAGTGTGCTTGGTTGTCTGTCTCTAAGTGTGGCCCTGCGATGGACTGGCGACCTGTCCAGGGTGTCCCCTGCCTTCGCCCCAAGTCGGCTGGGATAGACTCCAGCCCCCCACGACCCTAATGAGGATTAAGCGGTGTATAGATAATGGATGGATGGATGGAATGAGGCCTACAAAGAAAAGAACACAGTTCCTACAGTCAAACATGGTGGAGATTCAAAGATGTTTTGGGCTTGTTTTGCTGCCTCTGGCACTGGGTGTCTTGACAGTGTGCAAGGAATCATGAACTCTGGAGACTATCAAAATATTAATGTAGGGCCTCGTGTCAGAAAGCTGGGTCCATGTCAGAGGTCATGGGTGTTGCAGCAGGACAATGACCTGAAACACACCTCAAAAAGCACCAAGAAATGGTTGGAGACAAAGCCCTGGAGAGTTCTGAAGTGGCCAGCAATGAGTCCAGATCTAAATCCCATTGAGCACTATGGAGAGATCTCAAAATTTCTGTTGCAAGAAGGCACCCTTTAAATCTGAGAGACCTGGAACAGTTTGCAAAAGAAGAGTGGTCCAAAATTCCAGTTGAGAGGTGCAAGAAGCTTGTTGATGGTTACAGGAAGCGATTGGCTTCAGTTATTTCTTCCAAAGGGTGTGCAACCAAATATTGAGTTGAGGGTGCCAACAATTTTGTTCAGCCCATTTTCTGAGTTTTGTGAAAATTATGTACATTTTGGCTTTTTTCTTCTGCTTTTTTGTGTTTTTCAATGCACATAAACGAAACGAACACATGTAATTGCAACAATTTCTGTGAGAAATGGTGTATTTTCTGAAAAAATTCCAAGGGTGCCAATACTTTTGTCCATGACTATATAACAGAAAAACTAAATATGACAACATCATTTGTTTCCAATATTATGTAGCCTTAGTTAATGCCCCTTTATTCACATTCCAGTTATGTTAACTAATAAATAAATGATTCAATTTAAGTGATTTGGGGCCGAGACAGGTAAAAGAAAGAGGAATTATATTAATGAATAGTTTTATTGCGTTTGACAAAGAGTTACTGAATTAATAGTAATAATCTCTGCAGAAATGTAGGACTCTCAAGTCATATTGCTTGTGTGTTTTGCTACTTCTCATGCAGCTCCCAGAACTAAAAAGTAATTTTAAGATCTGTAGCACACAATAAATTAAATTCCATTATCAACACACCACTTAATCCTCACTAGGGTCGTGGGGGGCTGGAGTCCATCCCAGCTGACTCAGGGCGAAGGCAGGGGACACCCTGGACAGGTCGCCAGTCTATCACAGGGTTACATCAAATTTTGTAACCACAATCCTGTACTTGGGAAGCAAAAACTCTGTCAGATAAATAGAGTAAAAAGCAAGGCTTCCTTTCTGAAATCTTGCATATTTTAGGCCCCTGGGCTCCATGCTGTTTGTGGGTTAGGGTTAGGCTCCTGTCACTTTTTTCACTGCAATATGAAGTCCTGCACCTCTATGGGAACAGTACAACCATGGCTAGAAGTAGAGAGAACTTAGAAATGTCTTCTGTGTAATGTGACACAGTTCTCATTGAATAAATTATGTGAAAACGTAACATTTCTTGAATCATTTATTTGACAAGAATTGAAATTAATAAAAATAAATAAACAATAAAAAAAATTAAAAAAAACAGGACTCAGTATGTGCAACAGGTTTCACTAACACTGGAAGAAATGGTGGTTTAAAATGCTATAAATATTTTACTATTCACATTTTAAATTTGTTTCGATACTTCCTGCTCTAGGAAAACACAGCCTGCAGATCAGCTGAAAACACATTTTTTTGCCACATAGCTGTTGGTCGCAGTTGAGTCACTATTATTATTATTTTTATTTTTTGATTTTTTTTTTTAAAGTAAAGTTAGTTATTTTGGTTAAATGTCATACAGTTTCTAGTTCTGATAAATAATGTAATTTGTCCATTCTTTTAAAGACAACATGCCTTTTAAACATAAGAATGGTTTTGGGGTTCACAGGTTTAAAGATAGTTACGTACAGTTGTGGCTGTCGTGGCCATCTGAGGTCAAACACCAGCTGAAAATCACTTAAAGTCATAAATAAGTTTAAAAACTACTTTGTAATTCTGTGAATAAACCAAATATTCCCCAGACCTTCAGAGAGAATTTATCTTTTCTGGAAGTCATCATGCAGCCCTGCCTATTGTTGGCTCCCAGCTGCAGGAATCTTTTGGCTGTTGCTGAGCGTTTTGAGTGTTTTGTGTGTGTTTACTCTGCAGCGATGCGTTGCTGTTCTCGTCTCAGTCTCTGGTTCTCCTCCTGCAGTTTCTGGTTGTGGTGCTGCAGAGTGTTTCCTCTGCGCAGACTGTGAGTCAGTAACTCCCTCACTGCCTCCACCGGCTCTGCGACGGCCTCCAGTACCACGGAGCCCAACCTGAACTGAGACCAAAGACACATCCGCTGTTAGTCACAGGCTTTTCACATTCAATAACTGTTTGTTTCAGGGCCGATCCAACAGTTACTTCATTATTGATTAATCTGCTTGATATTTTTCTGATTAATTAATTGTTAAATGTGGCGCGTTTGTATGCACCATTTGTAAAAGATTATGATGTTGCCAAGTGAAGCTGATCCTTAACCTTGGCATTTCTCATTTGTGTGAAATTTTGTCAAAATTGGAGGATGAACTCTTGATTTATAGCCAAAGACATGCTATCTGCAGTCAAATGATGTCATCGCTGGTTATTTAGTACATCTGGAACAGAATTTGACCTCAAGTAGTTTCCAACAACCAACATCTAATAAGCTGCGACTTGATAGTTGGGTCTAAGTGAACATTTGCATCAAATTTGATCAAATTCTTTTGAGTTGATCAAGAGATTTCACATTCATGAGAATGACACAGACAACCTGAAAATACAACACCAAAGTCCAAGATGACGAAGGTCTTGTTTTGTCCACACCCAAAGATATTCAGCTTTACTGTTATAAAAGAGGAAAGAAACCAGAAAATATTTACATTCAGGAGGTTGTCGTCACATAATTTAGATTTTTCAGACCATTTATTTGATTATAAAAACAGTTGATAATGATTTATTGACTAGTTGATTAGTTACTCTTGCAGCTCTACAGTGCTTCGTCTCAGCTAATCAAAAATTCAACACTTTTATCTGTTTGCAGCATAATGTTTCAAGTATGGCTGCCTGATAAACGTAGTGAGGAAAATTAGGGATTTGTGGGGCTTTGTTTGAGACCACAGGGCAACTAGTGGGAAGAGAGAGAACCTGCTGCTTTAGAGCCAAAGTAACATATGTCATGTGTTTTATTGGTGATGTGCTACTAAAAATAACAATATTGATAATCAGAAAAATGTTCAGTCCCAATAATCAGCCAGGCAGGTAATCTGTTGATCCCCACAAAAATCTGATGAGAATCTTCCAAAAACCAAAGAGAAAACCACAAAAGTCTTTACATTTAAGAAGCTCAAACCATCAAATGAAAGATTTATTAAATAATAACTAATCAACATTGATTAGGAATGAAAGGTAACATCTTCAAATGTGTCATTTTGTCTGACAAAACATCCAAAAACTCAAACAAATATCACGTTTAAAGTGTTATGACAAAGAAAAGCAACAAATCTCTAATGAAATATTTTTTTCACCACTCCTGCTTGAAAAATGAAACAATCTGTGAACAGATATATAGCAAAAGAAATTTCAATACTGACGACTAATCATTTCAGCTTTCAGTCAGCTTTCAGAAAAAAGTTCAGAGAAATGTTCCGTCTTTCAACTGTTAATTAGACAAGCAAAACACTGTCTGACATTAACCAGGATTCTGACGTGGTGATGGGTATTTTACGCTGTTTTCCACGGTTGTAAAGAACAAAAATTAATTGAACTCCAGCCCAGCTCACTCAGAGCAAGTAAACAGCTGGATGTAACTAAATTTCCTTGAAATAAACAAAGACAAAATAGTAATGACTGCATTTCTCAACAAGAAAGAAAGTTACTGTGGGCACCGTGATAGCTCACCTGGTTGAGCTGGCGCCCCATGTACAGGGGCTAAAGTCCCCGACACAGTGGTAGTGAGTTTGAGTCTAGCTCGTGACACTTTGCTGCAGGTCCTTCCCTCATTCTTCTCCCTCACTTTCCTGTCTCTCTCTTCACTGTACTATCCAATAAAGGCACAAAAGGCCAAAAAAATTATTTAAAAAAAAAAGAAAGAAAGAAAGAAAGTACTGTTCAGCTATGAGGATGCAAACGCCCGTTAGAAACATCTGTGTCCTCACTGATCCAGCAAAAATTAGACGTTTTATGTCCAAACAAGATTTAGAGAATCTCATTCGTGCCTCCATCGGCAGCAGAGTGGACCTCAGCAACATCTCCTCTCAATTCTGTCCCAAAGGTCTGTTTATTGAAATTGCTGCTGCCAGACTTTGTACAAGAGTTCAGGCAATTTTAAATTACTTGTTCAACATTTCTGATCTCCTTGGTAAAAAAACAAAAAACAACAGGGCTTTTGTATCTTCATGAGACAGCCAGTGAAAACCTCCACTCTGATTAAAACAGGGTGAAGCTGCTTTCACATCACGCAACCTCCAGCACACTTATGCAAAAGTCACCTGCAAAAACATTGTACAAAAACATCACCAAACTGCAGCAGGCTAGAGAAATATTTAGACCTTCTTAAGCCTTTTTTGAATTCAATGATTTAAAGCAAATGAATCTTGGTTAATGTAACATGATCTATATTTGACCTGAGAAGGAGCAGCGTCCCCTGGGAAACTAAGTCCTCCTTCAAACATGTTTACACACAGATAAGAAGCACAACTGTCATTATCACCGCTGACCTCTGCGACCTGCAGCTCCCTAAATAACTGAGCTTTACGGGGGAGACACAGCTGTGTACCTGCACACTGGATAACACACACACAACCACAAAAATGTGGCGCAAAAGAATCTCCAAAAAAGTCCAACTGTGTGAAACGCAAAAATATTTAGTTTCCTATCAGAAGACCAAAGAAACATTAAACTCTGAAACTGAAAAGAACTGAAAAGACAGTCATCAAATATTTAGACGTTTTGCTTTTTTAAAAAAAAAAAAAAAAAAAAAAAAAACATAAGTAAACCGTGTGAAGACCATTTTTCTGTCTTATAGAAAAGGCAAGTGTTGGATATCAATATGATACATCTTCACTATTGTTCACAATCTGTGGACAGAAACAGGCCAACAGAATCATCTGACAGAACAAGAACTGAATCAGAGTGAAATTTGAAAGACTAAAGGCCGCACACTAGTTTGAGCAATTTGTCCATGTTTCCCCATCTCATAGCCAGAACCTACATTCATCAGTGTTACAATATGACTTTGTTAGAAAATGATTTGGACACAAAAAGAATCATGGCTAGAGGATAAACCTGGTATCAAATGTACGTCAAAATGAGACTTTTTATTTGCTTTAATTTGTTCTGACAAACGACCTATTCCAAATGTTGCAAAGACCCTTAAAAGTTGATCAAAAATGCACTTTTTAAAACTTTCTGCGGTGAATTATCATCAAAACACATCCAGGGTATCAATGTTTGTTTCTATGTCACATTCACTGAACTGCTGCAGCAACTGAAACTAACTTTAAGATACATGTCATGATGTTAAAGCTTGATTTAAAGAAAAAATGGTGCTGGATAAAAACCAGACTTTGGCTTTATTTGTGACTCCTGGAGTGGATGTAAAATTGATTTGGTTGCAGCTTTAAACAGAGCTTAAATGTGTTTTTCAAATCTGAAAATGTCATGTGTTTGTCTCCTGTACCGATGAAATTACATAGGCTCACAAATTATCGAAAAGAAACATCGTCAATTAAAAAGAAATTTTAACCCACCTCAATGTACTTTAAGGACTTGTAGCTTTGAAAATATTCATACTATGTAGTTGACATGTTGTATGGCTTCATTACATATACTAAAGTTATTGTGCAGAAGAATTTCACTTGATTCTTAGAGTCATGGAGGAGGCACTACTTGACTTTTCACAAAATGAAACCTGTACCACTGGTGCAGTACTATTTACCATATTATCAAGTGTGTATATTTTCATCTTTTAAATATCAAACATCACAACACTGCTAATTGAAGACCTGCTGATTTCTTCTGTTGTCATGTCATCTTCTCTGCAAATTACATGTCGGGTTCCTCTGAACATGATAAAACTCGCCACAATGTATTTTTTCATTACTTATTTTTGAGTAAAGCATACAATCTTAAGTAGGAAAAAGTAGCAATTATTTGTTCGTTTTTGTGTAAAAATGTGGCATCTTTTGATTTTCTGATTTCACATTCTCATAGGAATAGGAAAAGACAGACTGACAGATGGATTTAAGACGTCAGATTTCAGACTGAGACTGTTAAGTTGTTAGTAATTCTTTAACAGTTTCATTTCCACTGAAGTCATTACCAGAGAAAGCAGCAGTTTATCCTCTCATGTCTCCCCCACTCTCTGTTTCGTCTCAGTATCTAATATTTGCCAGCTATTACTTCACCACCTCTTAGAAATGTTAAGTAAACAGCATCCGACTGAAATACTGCACGACATGGAAATACGTCTCCTGAGCTGCTCTGGCAAACGCTTCCAGTTGTTGCCTCATCGTGTTCACTCAGACGGCATTAAGCTCTTAGCGGTTTATAATTCGGCTGTCAGCTGTCACCTGAGCTCGTGGTGGGGATCGTGAAAGTCTCTACTCAGACTGGATGTTGTTGACGGAGGAAGCAGCGGGACGGCTGGACGGGCCGTGTTGATGTGGGCAGAGGGTTTCTCATGTCGTCATGGAGACGCTGCTGTTTCTAAAGCTGTTTCTGACTCAATGATTCACACTAATTAACTGCTGGACACTTTTATTTGGAGAGAAACCTCTGTGAGCAGCTCCACCTTTTCTAAATTTACTGCCAAAATGGGTTTAACTTATTTTGTTCTTTTTGTATTTTTTTTAGACACTAAAAAGAACAGAAACACACCCTTACAGGACAAAAATCACGTCACGTTCCTCTAAATAATTCATATGAAGCACTTTTCCGAGGGTGTTCAACAACGTACTGTGGACACAATTCTGAACACTGTCAGCAACTACATCATGTGTTACCATAAAACCATAACAGGGTGCAACTAATTTTATCGAATTAACAGGGGTTTTCCATAGAATTATACACATTTTACATACTAACGTCTTATTAATTTGGCAGGCCATCAGTCTACCACTATTCTTAAAATCGTAATAATATCATTAGTAGAAGCTGCTTGCTTTGGAATATCACCTCAAAGAAGTATGTTTTCCATTTGTGGCAAAAAATATAATTAAAAATTAAGGAAGGAATTTGCTGAATTGAACCCTTTTTTTTGCCGGAACTTAAAAAAAATTCAATTATTAGATTTTCAACTTTCCAACACTTCTTGAACTAACGAACATTTAGTTCTTTTCATAAAACTAACTATGAGGTTAAAACCACGATATTTTATCAAATACACTTTATTTAACATGCGTCATTTAAAAATTCTGCATCAATAAAGCATTTGCTTGATTGATCATGTAAAAAACTAAAAATTCTTCCCCTCAGCACAACTGATTCTCCACGACCGACTCAGCTGTGACCGACAGTCAAGATTCAGAGTTGTCGGGTGAACAGTGTCCAGAGTAGAGTGAAAAGGTTTGTAGAGGTTGTAAAAATGTAAATAGTTAAATATCTATAGCATGCGAAGCCACCATTTTTTCCACTGTTGGCAACACCTGTGGACACTTGGAAAAATGTTGGACATGTTGATTGCAGGTTTTTTGTTATTTTTTTAAAATGTTTTTATGATTTATGGCATTCTAACTGTGCCTTATTTCAAAGAAGGCATTCTGGCGTTCTCTCTACTTATAGCCATGGCCATGCTGTTTTCACAGAGGTGCAGGATTTTTAAGGAATTTTGGACACATTTTGAATTATGCTGGACAAGTTTTAAATCAATATAAATACAATTCAAATCCTTTTTCTTCCAGTATTGCTAACCTGTGTGTATTTGGAAAATGTTGAGCAAGTCAAATCTGTTTTTCCCAATTTCTGTAATTAAGTAATGAAATTCAACTTTATTCTTTTTTTTTAATGATTAATGTCATTGTCAAACTAGAAAAAAATACATTTTTTGAGTTTTCTCTGCTTCTGGCCATGGTTGTGTTGTTTCCATGGAGGTGCAGGACTTTAAATTGCAGTGAATAATGTGACAGGAGTGAAATAAAAAATAATACACACCCAGAAGCTGCTTGGAGTTACAGGGTTTAATAACCCAACAAGGTTGCAAAGTTATTGGAGCTATTTCCAACAGCAGTTGTTACATAAAGTTTCATTAAAGGTCTCATTAATTTTTCCTCATCTGGTGTGAACTGTTTATTTTTGGTGAATTTTTAAATGAAACACATTTAATATTATGACTTTGATGGAGTACCATGATGTTAAGGTTAGATTAGGTTAGCTTAGCTTTTTTTACCTTTCAAACTTGCCAGCAGGTTAAATAATAGAAATCATTTATGACACTGTGAAAATCAAATGTTTCAGGCAGCCACCTCTAAAGGACACATCTGAGCTGGAAGTCAGCAGGTTACACTGATGAATTCATGACCACAAACACACACACGTTTGGTATGCTAAGCAGCTCCTGCAACACCTGTACGAGAACGTGAGAGTCTCCCTGCTGCTGCTGTTTTGCAGCACTGGACAGGAGCTCAGATTAGAGGGCATTACACTGAGGCCTTTCATTATGACTCATAACATTATGACAGATGAATAACTGTTTTTTATTTTTTACATGCTGAGGAAGAGAAACCTCGAACACCTCTGATGACACATCACTGCACACTTCTGTAAACTGGCCGTTCCTGACTCTCGTTTTCATAAACCGCAGCGTCAATTCATTTCCCTTTTAATGAAACTCAGATTTCCATTCTGTCAGCACTACCATGACGACAAAGGTGTTGTGTCCAAATCATGAATGAGGGTGTTGACACAGCTCACCTCTGAACAGGGTTTACAACTGCTAAACCTCATCAAGCTGTGCAACTTTGGAATACGTGTACATTAACAATAATCTCCTGATCAACTGCTTCTAATAAGGTAGAATTTATCTAAAAATACTAAATACTGGGGCGCTGCTGTAGCTCACTGGGTTGAGCTGACGTCAACAGGGCTACAGTCCCGATGTGGAGGTCATGAGTTTGAATCCCGCTCATGGCCCTTTCCCACACGTCCTCCCCCCCTTTATATGCACTGTCAAATAAAGGCACAAAGGCCAAAAAAATAACAAAAAAAAAAACAATAAAAAAGAAATACTTGCTTTTGGTCTGTAAAATGTTGAAAATTGCGAAAAATATCTTGTTTAGCTCGACTGGCAGAAATATTCAGTTTACTGTTACTGTTGCTAAAACAATAAAAATGCAGCCTTTTTGACCATTAAATGCACTGATGAGCCAAACATTAGGACTACAAACAGATGTAGTGAATACACTGACTATCAGGTAACACAAGCACATGTTAGGGTCTGTAATATATTATATTTTCTGCAGGCTTCAGCAAATTAAATTTAAGCAACTTGAATGCAATCCAATGACTTTTAAAAGTTGATTCTGATCAAAAAAAACATTAAGAGCATGACAAGTTAATAATCTATAAAGATTTATATCTCATCTTGGTCAAAGCTACTTGGCCGTATGTAACATTTATGCATAGTAATACAATTAATCAATTAAAGTGTCAAAATGGCAACAAAATAAAAGAAAGATGGAACCACAAAGACAAAAAATAACCACCAAGAGACACCAAATAATCACAAAAACACACAAAACAACCTCAAAAAGACTGAAAACAACCACAACAAGACACAAAATAACCACAAAAGCAGCAGAACACAAATAATTTTCGTCTTCTTCGGTTGTAAAAAAAACTATGGATTAATCAATTTAATAGGCAAGTAATCATTTTGTTTTTTGCTAAAACTGACATGCGTCAGTGATAATTCGATGAGAACAGCCTTCAGAAGTTTGTTGGGAATGTGAAGTTCCCGTGACAACGATGCTCCACAACATGATGAGTTTGCTGCAGCTCAAGGGGTTACACTGATTAGACTCCAGAACGTGTTTGTGATTATTTAGATAGTTTTACTGGTGAAGTAACACTCAAATGAAGCCACGACTCTGGTTCCTACAATAACATTAAGAGCTCACGGTAAGAGCAAGCACATTTCACACTTCATCCATCACTTCAGCAAAGCAAAACAAGCTCAGAGCACTTTAATCTGGAGCTTTTAAACATCTTAAGATAATTCAGGGAAACAGGAGGTGACGACCGTGATGTTATCCGCAGTGTCAGCTCTGAAGGTGGCCCTAATGTCAACATCCAGCCCTGTATTTTACTCATGCTGCTGCACAGTGATACCAGATGACTGTTTTAAAAAATTAACCAGCTGGATTTGTTTGACCAGTCCTGTGTTTTACAGTTACTTTTCAGGAAAATCTACTCTCTCAATTTGGGTAAAAAGGGATTTTCCAGGAAATGCAGACACTGTTTTGTATTTAATAGAGATAATTGCTACAGTTTTAAACAATCAAACTATAATCCAACCGTAATCAAACTATATTTTCTGATCTAGATAACATCTAACCGTCATTTAACTATGATCTAACCATCATTTAACCATCATCTAACCATAATTTAACCACGATCCAACTATAATCTAACCAACATAGAACCATAATCTAACTACAGACACACCACAATGTACTCTTCTATCTAATCTAACCAAAATCTACAATCTATAACCTGATCTTACTATATTTTTTAAAGAATTAATAAATTCCCAAAGTTATGGGTTAGCATCTGCTTATTTTCTTTGAGTTTAAAAAAAAATAAAAAATTAGCAACACAACAATAAATACTTGTCATTTTTAGGTGTACACGTTGAGGACGGCTGTAACCAAATGTAAAATTTCTTGATGGTATGAAATTGCAGCGACTCTTCTACTAATTGATTGATCGTAGGGGGAAAAAATCAGCAGGTTATGTGTAGATGAATTAAGTACTTGCTTGCAGCATATTAAATAATTTGAACCTTTTCATACTGATCTGACAAGAGCAAACGGTTGGCTTTGCCCGGTCACTTACTGAGAGGTCCTTCTGCAGCTTCTCGTACGTCAGCGTCACTGTGGAGCTGCGGTCTGGTGGACGAGGCATCAGGGTGAATGTGTAGGAGGTGGAGCTTTCTGCTGCCGTCAGCGCCTGCTGGAGGTCCTGGATGTAGCGCTCCATCTGCATCTCCAGCTCCTCGGCTTCACTGCACACCAACGCCTCGCTCACTGCATATAGAACAAGAGTGGAAATACAATAGCATAAACTGTGGAGCAGAAATTTGTTGAAGGACAAGAGACACTGAGACAAGAGCACAGCTTCCTCCAAGCCTTTAATTAGACTTTCATCTTGTTTAGTTCTTTCTCTGGTGTTCTAACTTCACTTTCATTGTTTTTGCTTGTTAGATACGTTTTAATTGTATTTTTATTGTTGATTAATATTTTTTATTCATTTGCAAACATTTCCTGTACTTGTTAAAGCCTCTTTAAAGCTCTTTGTTACACTGAAAACTGCTTTGAAAAGTGATAGAAGACTAAAGTTCATTCCTCTTTTTGTCTTCCTGTCAAACTACTTCTCCTTGCCTTCCATCTTGTTCAAGTCCTCCACCTTCTTCTTCTTGTCTTACAACTTGTTCTTGTCCTTCACCCTCTTCCTCTTGTCTGTTCTTGTTCTCCACTTTTTCCTTCTCTATGTTCTTGTCCATCTTTGTCTTGTCCTCCCTTTCCATGTTTTTCTTGTTCTCCATCTCCTCTTGTCCACCTTCTTCTTCTTGTCCTCCTTTTCCTTTTTCTTATGGTTGTTTAGTCCCCCTCCTTATGGCCCAGCTTCTCTTTTCTGTTTGTCCTTCTGTTGCATCTCGTTCTTCTTTTTCTTCTTTTCTTGTACTAATATTTTTTAAAATCGATTCTTAAATACGGTAAAAGCTGGAGAGCCCTAAAGCCTAACAAGGTTGAAAAATCAGGTATCAGGTATTCAAATTAACACTGGTTGAAGGATTGTATTTGTCCATTTTATGCATTTATTTATGGACATTTTAATCTGCTTTACATTTTCTATTAGAATATTTACCTTTAATGCTCTTACAAAGTCCCTCCCTTCATATCTGATCTCATTCATACTAAGTCTGTTTTATATGTGCTGTCTGACAAGAATACTCGGGTTCGATTAGGTCACAGTTCTCTAAATGTTTTTCATCATGCTGGCCTGCATGTTCCCTGATCTCACCAATAATGACATGAGCTGGTCGGATGGATGTTTGCAACACGAACATGCAGCTGAAAAACCTGCAGGACTTGTGCGATGCCATCGCAGCAGCATCATCTACACAAACACCCGCAGGAAGGTTTCCAGCACCTTGTTGAATTGTGACCTTAGAGGAGACCCTCATAAATCCAGCTCAGCATCTCTGTCCGAGCACCTGAGGAGGTCAACGATGTCGCGCTGTGAAGGCCTCGCAGGTGAAGCGAAGAAGGCGTGTGTGGTCAAACAGGTGAGGCCGTCTGGGCTTTAGCTGAGCATAAATCTGTCATGTAAAAGGGTGAAAATGTGGAAGAGGTGACGCAGGGTGATATTTTTACCTGCTCCTCTCCATGCAGCCTGTCCATCAGTCAGCATGCACTGGAAGCCTGAAGCTAAGCCCCGCCCCTTCCAGTCCAAACGCAAGAAGTAGGAGGAGTCAGGCTCTGAAGAGACGAGGATTTCACGCACCGACGTGTGCATCCCTGCAGAAACACAAAACACACTCTGGTTAGACAACCACATTAATCTAACGTGTTGGTAAAACTACTCGATCGGGGGTCAGTCAATAGGGTTATTTCAGTGCCGATACCCGTACCGATTACACTGGTCGACACCCATTTTGGAGTTTTTTGAGCTGATTTTGGACAATTGCAATGTGCAGAATCCAAATATTACATTGGTTTTGCTCAAAGAGGTCAAAATTTTGATTTGTTGCCACATGCACTTTTTTACATATTTGTGTACATGTGCGGGTATCGATGCTTTGTATCATACAAAATTCTTTTTCTATTTCCTGAAATGAACAAATTCAGAAACCTTTACACGTCGATACTATAAATATTCGCTGGTTTATGAACAACACATCAGAGTCACGTGATTTTATCAAGGTGAATATCTGAGTGAACACCACCGGATGGTGTGATCATAATTTTAGTTGTAGTTTATGATAGTTTTCTCTGCTTCAATATTGTTATATATTTAGTGTTCTTTGCCTCAATACATACATTGAAAACAAATGGCTTCAGCCAGGGGGACTTGTAGAAATAAGCCTGATGTCTTCTGCTACATCTGTGGTGAATACACTCTTGTTCCAAACAAATACCCGGTCACCAACTTCGTAAAACGTGCTTTTCATGCTTATTTTGACTTGGTGATCAGGATAAAGTGTGTGCGCCTCATATGGTGCGCAAGAGTTGTATGGAGCATCTGAGTCAGTGGACCAAAGGGACAAAATTCAATTCAATTCAATTCAATTTTATTTGTATAGCGCATATTTACAACAACAAGTCATCTCATAGCGCTTCACAAAGGCAGAAACAGAAACACCCAACAATCCAAAACATCTGGGTTCCCTATAAGCTTCAGCAGTCCGCAACAGTGGGAAGGAACCGAAAACCCCCGCAGGGGAAAAAAAACCTCCGACAGAACCAGGCTCAGGGAGGGACGGCCATCTGCCTCGACCGGTTGGGTGGATGTAGGATGAATTATACAATGTAGTTTACAGTTAAACAAGTTGTTAGAAGTTATTGTCCAAAACATGCAATTTACTTGTATTTACCTTTACAAATATTTATTTTCATCAACTTTTGGATCATTTAGCTTATGAAAAGGATTAGAAAATGAACCCTCTAAAAATCCGATTTCATATGAGAAATACCAAAATAAATCAATCGCTTATGTCAAAAAATTTAATCAATTTAGTGGTAAAATCTTTTTTTTTTTTTTTTAATCGAGTTGGCATAAAAACCTGACCTGATACAAAAAAGCAGATGTCATTTTTGGATTCAGCGTTGCAAAAATGTCCTAAATCAATTTAAAAAATCCTAGACACCTTCAAAAAAAAATTTTTTTTGTAACCCAGTGTTATTCGTAATTAAGGAGATCACTAATTGATATACTTCATTTTTGTTCAGCACAATTTTTCATTACCCACCTTTAAGCATCAATATTATGGGCTGCATCATAGTTTAATGTCTATGAAATACAGAACCAGTCAAAAGTTTGGACACATCTTCTCATTCAGTGGTTTTTATTTATTTTAGTTATTTTCTACATTGTAGATGAATACTGAAGACATCAAAACTATGAAAGAACACATATGTAATTATGTTGTAAACAAAAAAGTGACAAACAAATCAGAATAGGTTTTATATTTTAGATTCTTTAAAGTAGCCCCCTTTTGCTTTGATGACAGCTTTGAACACTCTTGGCATTCTGTCAGTCAGCTTCGTGAGGTGGTCTCCTGGAATGTTTTTCCAACAGTCCTGAAGGACTTCCCAGAGGTGCTGAGCACTTGTTGGCTGCTTTTCCTTCACTCATCCCAAACCATCTCAGCTGGGTTGAGGTCGGGTGTGGATTCCAGGTCATCTGACGCAGCACTCCATCACTTTCCTTCTCGGTCAAACAGCCCTTACAGAGCCTGGAGGTGTGTTTGGGGTCAGTGTCTTGTCAAAAAACAAATGATGGTCCCAGTAAGTGCAAACCAGATGGGATGTCATGGCACTGCAGAATGCTGTGGTAGACATGCTGGTTAAGTGTGCCTTGAATTTTGAATAAATCACCAACAGTGTCACCAGCAAAGCAGCCCCAAACCATCACACGTCCTCCTCCATGTTTCACAGTGGGAACCACACATGCAGAAACCATCCGCTCAACTTCTCTACATCTCACAAAGACACAGCGGTTGGAAACAAAAATCTCAAATTTGGACGATTTCCACTGGTCTCATGTCCATTCCTTGGGTTATTGGTATTATACTGGTATTAATCTACAATGTGGAAAATAATTAAAATAAATGAAAAACCATTGAATGAGAACGTGTGTCCAAACTTTTGACTGGTACACTGTAAAATGTGAAAAGTTGATCGCACTTAATCGAATCTGGGAAACCAGCTGCACTCAAAAAAGGCAAGTAAATATAACCATTAATCTTAAATTCAGTTTACTTCACATTTACTTGTAAAGTTTAATTAAAATTTAGCTGTATTTACTTAATTTTGTGAACTTAAAAATAGCAAGTATAATGAACTTGATCTTTCCAAGGGTTAGAAACTTCAATAATAACAATTGATCAGATTTATATAGCGCTCCTCTAGACACTCAAAGATGCTTTACACTGTCAATTATTCATTCACGCACATTCATTCCGGTGAGCTACCATTGTAGCCACAGCTGCCCTGGGGCAGACTGACAGAGGCCTGGCTGCCATTCTGCCCCTCTGACCACCACCTCAAACAATCCATTCATATGCATTCACACCAGGCAAGACGGGTGAAGTGTCTTGCCCAAGGACACAACGACCATGACACAGGTTACAGGGCGGAATCAAACCGCCAACCTTCCAGTCATTGACCAACCCGCTCTACCACCTGAGCCACAGCTGCCCCGTAAAGTTTCTGGAAACTCTACTGTAAAACTGCACTGCAAATCTGAACTGCTGAGTTCTGTGTTCGGTCCAGGAACAGAACGTTTCAAGTCCAGTCTACTCAAGTGTTCTTATTTTTATAACTCCTTCAGGAAAAATGAGTACATACTCTCAGTCCATGAGTTAAATGAACAGGACAGTGAGAAATAGTAATAATAGTAATAATGCAGTATTGCTTTTAAAACTATGATACATCCAAAGTTAATCACAGAAAAAATCTAAACAAAATGTAGATTTTCTCTTTAGATTGTGACAACTGGAGTAGATGTAAAATTGATAAGGTTGCAGTTTTTAACAGAGCTCAAATGTGTTTTTCAGTCCTGAAAGTTGGTTGTCACTGTCTCCTATACTGGTGGATGGATGGATGGATGGATGGATGGATGGATGGATGGATGGATAGATGGATAGATGGATAGATGGATAGATGGATAGATAGATAGATAGATAGATAGATAGATAGATAGATAGATAGATAGATCGTAATTATTATGAGGGTGACCCTATGTACTTAATTAGCCTTGAACTCCTGAAAACATTCAAAACATGAAGGTAAAGCTTTGCATAACTTCATTTAAATACAGTAAAGTTATTTCAGGTGGGAACAGCTTTTGTTGATTTGATTTGTAGACCTTATTTAAACTGTTTAATGTCTACATGTCTGTATCCTGCTAAATTGTAGAATCTCTTGGCAGGGCGCTCCTGTAATAGAGATTCTTAATCTAAATGAGCCTCTTCCTGGCGGATATAAATAGAAAATAAAAACCACGGCCTTGGCACAGCCTTGACAGACTCACTGTGATGAGTTAAGACTTTTGGCTGCAATGGATCTTCCCCAAATTTTGAAGGCGTTTGTCTACAGGGCTGTATCTCCCACACTGTTCTTTCTATACTGATATGAACCTGCTCAAGTTAAAACTGAACCTGGCACCTGGCATTATTTTAGCATCAGTTATTTCCTGTCACATTAAAGCGTTGAATAACAAAGTCTGAAGAACAGAAAAGTAGACCTGGATAATGTGTGCAGACAAAAACAAGTGCTACCTTTTACAATTTCAATAAGATTCAGAAAAACTGAGTCATTCTGAATGTTTGTTTTCAGATTTTAGAGTATTTGCAATGAGCTCATTTCTTGATGTTTACCTCCAAATGCTAAACTTCTGCAGTGTGACCTCCAGATCACTGCAGGTGTGTTGGACCTGACCGAGGCCTGTCATAACTCACACAGCTGTTCCTACATCATTTTTCTGGCATCTGTCACAACCTGATGTTTAGCTCACGTGCCAGTCAATGCTTTACCTCCGCATCCAGCAGAACAGAGGAATACCTCGAATGAATGTACATGTGGTTTTGCTACTCTGACATGCTGCGAATTCATCTGCAGCAGCATCCATAAATGGCAAAGCTATTGCTGTACAGAGAGAACAGAAGAGGGTCTGGAGAGAGTGGATCTGGAAATCATCAGAGACCCCATAAGGCTTGGACAGATCTAAAAACCACCACAACCGGAAACATACTAAAAACTATGCTACATTCCTGTATTCAAAAAGTATTTATCTTAGCTATATTTGGAAAAACATTTAGCAACTCCAGACCTCTGTTCTACTTGGATTGGACTATCTACCAATATTGTTGCTTTTGTGGTACAAATGGTTATAGCTGCTCAATCTGTTATAAAGGTTCAACAAAAACAACTTTGTTTTCATCTGTGTGACCAAGTATTTCATATTAAAAACTATTCCATATGTTTTGTTTTATATTATTGTAACATGCAATTACATATGGTTTGGAAAATATCAGGAGAAGACTTGTTGATTACCTTTTTTTTCCATTAATGTGTGTTCTAAGAAATTTCAACTCTTACATATGATTACCCTGAAACACTGTCTGGAAACGAATAACAAATAATGCTTTATGATCTGGACCTTAGTGGGTAGTACAAGTGATAGAACAGAGAAAGATTATGCCAACAGAGAAGAACAGCAGGAGACAAACTGTTCAGTCTCAACCAGTGGATCGATCAGTAAGGAGAGGATGTAATGTCAAGGCATCCTGTGAGGTTTTGATGTCAATACTCCTATAGCTAGGAGCTGCCTTAATAATGAAGAGGCCTAGCTATGAATGACAGGATCCCTGCTGTCAAATGCTGTACAGTATAACGTTTAATAAATATCGGTTCAAAATAATCAGTCATTGGTCTTTCTCAATGACCAACAATCGGCACTGAAAACCCCATATCGGTCGATCCCTAGATTTCAGAGATGGAAACACCTATGAGTGTTTTCTTGATGGGTTCTGTAAGTAATGTCTGTGCAGACTTAATGAAGCCAAATAAACCTGTCTCACCTTTTTGGGCTTCTTCTCAACAGCAACAACCAACTGACCCGTCTTTACGAAAACATCACGGCAGAAGCTCCAGCACTTAAAATGCAAAAACAAAACAAAAAAACACTGTGCAGCATCTCATTTTAGGTGAGCAATTTCTCCGCCTGTGCGTCTCTTTAGCTGTGAAGCAGGTGTTGGAAGGATGTAGTTAAAGTTGCGGCTGCTGCTGGAACATGTGTCCGGCTGCGTGCTGCCAGCTAACTGAGGGGCAAATTTCTCCGCTGCACTCTGTTCAGCCTGTACTTGGGCCTAATGAGAGGCTGTGTATTGGAGCATTACAGTGCTTACAGCGCTGTGATGACACGTTTGCATGAAGCCGGACTAATCATTTACAACAGTCTTGCTCACTTTGGTCATTACACGACCAAATGGCACTAAGGAAAACCAGTGTTTAACAATTACATAACCTTCATTCTTCATGAGGGCAATGCATATTTCACTAAATACCCAACAAATGCCTCATCTGTGTGTTTATTTTGGCACACGTGGGTCTTTAAAAAACAGAAAGAAAGTACTTAAAAATGCCTGTTAAAATCTTCAAATTCAGATATTCAGCTTTCTGCCATGTATGAACACAAAAAGATCACATTTGAGAAGCTGTAAGCTAAAAATGTTGATATTTTTGATAATAAATGAATATTTGAAATAGTTGGAGCTCTGACTTGGCTTAAAGCTCCAGCGGCTAGAGAAAATCAAACCCAAACAAATAATTATGGAAACTCTGGGTAATAAAATAATAAAGATGTATACCATCGATAGACATTTAATAAAGGGTAATTACAAAATTGTTTAATAGTTTTACCTAAATGCATCAGATGCAAACTGCCATGATAATGTGTACCAAACTGAGATGATTCCTTTATTCTTTTTATTTTCTTTTATGTGTGTAAATGTATTTAATTTTGTGCATTTCACTGCTGTTAACATTGAAATGAATAGAATAGAATAGAATTCTGCTGCTTGCTATTTATCTGTGAACAAAATGTAACATTATATTCTGATAAATTTTCAGCCATATTGTCCAGCCTTAATTATACCTGTATGTGTGTTGATTCTGCAAGAACAATATTAAATGAGAAAAGTAGATCAACAGGAGAATTAATATTTTATAGGCATAAAAAATGTTTGAGAGGTATTGTCACCTGGTGCTTGAATTTAATGTTTTTCACACACACACACACATACATACATACATACATACATACATACATACATACATACATACATACATACATACATACATATATGAAGACAACTGATGCAGAAAAGAAGCAGACTGATGCAAAAAATTCTCTAAATATAAAGAAAATGAAGCCATTGATGCTGATAATATCCTAGGGGAGGGCGTCCAGAGGTGACATGTTCTTCCCAATCTTCAAATGAACTCTGCGCTAATCTCTCAAATGTCAACAGAAGCAAGAAAATATTTAAAACTCAGCAGAGAGGTAGCTGGATTCAGCATGTAGCTCTCCTCACACACGAGGACACAATTTGTAACAGAGCTAAACATCAGCTTTTTCGAGAGATATGTAACCAACAATGTTTGGAAAACTGAAGGTCATTTTGTCTCTTTGTGGTGATTTTGCAGTCATTTCGTGTCTCTTTCTGTCATTCTGGTCATTTTACGTCTCTCTGTGGTATTATTTCATTTTGCTGTGGTCATTCTATCATTATCTGTGGTCATGTTGCTTTTCTTAGTGTTATTTTGTGTATCTTTGTGGTACTTTTGTGTCTTTGTAGTTGTTTTCTGTGCATTTGTGGTCATTTTGTGTCTTTATTTACTGTCCAACCTGTACGATAAACATCTTACCATAACTGTGGGGGGCGTGTATGAGTGAAGCTAGAAGGAACATTAAAATTAAACTGTGTCTGAATGACACATTAAAATATTTATTTATTTTAAAAACAGACAAGTTACTTATCTCTATTCAAGTGTTTTGAAGTTGCATATTTAGAACAATTACCCTACACTAACTTCAATAACTATCCAATAAACTTTAGTAGGTTAATGGTGGTTCTAATGATGGACACAAAACTACAAGCTCAAACAATTCATTATAGAAACTACATTATTTGTATACAGTCGCTTGTCTGTGGTTCAGTTTCCAGATGTTTAACGTGGCTTGTTGTGACAAAAGCTAAACCTCAATCGAAAAAAACGTGTTCCTCAGTAAAACACAGCAGGGAGCAGCTACATACAGTTTGTAACCTCAGAGCATACAAGAACACCTACTCGAAGAGCTAACCATTGGATTTTCTGAGAGCTATTTGGCCGGTGATATTTGGAGGTTGTTTAAAATCGCTTAGGATTGTTTTAAGCGTATTTATTAAATCCCCAAAATCCCCTCAAGCCATCCGGGAAGAAAATATCCCTTGTACTAAATGACAAAAACAAGTTTCAACTTGTTGTCAAAGTTATGCCTCTGTTTCACAAATCAAAACAAACATGGCGGCTCGACGGCTAGCACAACAGAAAACAAGCACTCAACAAATCAAACAAGTAAAAATTCGTTTTTTTAAACACTGCGGTTACTTTAACGTTAACACAAACTGATAACTGATACTAAAATATGAACGTACGTTAACATGTGAGCTGCGCAGTCTCTGGCTAAGCTAGTTAACCTCACTGAGCTGTGTGTAAACACAGGCTGAAGCTACAACAGGTGACCAAAAAAAGTTAATTAAGGCTTGTTCACACCAGCGACAGCTTCATGTTAGTGTGTGTCTCACCTGCAGCTGCAGCGCGAGGCTCCGTTGGTTTGTTTTAAGGAGGAAATGTGATGTTTGATGTTGAAAACAACCGCCGACAAGTTAAAGCACCATCAGGAAGCTGCATAATACGTCATCATCAAGCGACACAACAGCTCAGCAAATCAGAGCTGACTAAACACCTGCAGGGACAGTATTTTGTTTTTGTCTTTATATTTTAACCCTATGACATTAAACATCTAACAGAACAAATACAAAAACTGAAGAAAACTGAATAAAAATAAATAAATATTATAATATATTAACTTGAGGTTGCATCAGAGGGGAATGTTACAAAATATCCTTTACTTTAGCAAAAGCACCAGAACCTAATTGTAACAATACTTCAAGAAATGACTGTAATCAAAATCCCACGTAAGTGAATTCACATGAGTCATCCTCTTTGCCGTTCCTCCAAACTGTGCTCAGGTGGATAGGTGCAGGGGCAGAGCCAAGGGGTGTCCTGAGGTGGCCACGGCCACCACAGACTGATACCCCTTTTCCACCAAACCTGTTCCAGTGCTAGTTCCATGCCACTTAGCACCAGTTCTTTGTGTTTCCACCACCTAAGCACCAGCTCCAGGCTCTCAAGACTGATGCTTAGCAAGCACCAACTCTTTGCCGGGCCAGAGCCAGGCACCGAGTACATCAGGGGCTGGGGACAAGGTTATTGTGACCACCGAGACCGATGAATGAATGTGTCGTTTTTCGCAAGGATGTCCCTGGTCTGATCACAGATGTATTGGAATGAGTCCCGGGACACACGGAAGTTTTGCACAAACTTTTGCGCCCTGAAAGTCGGTACAACTGTGTCCCACCAGCAGCACCACAGTAGTACTTTTATTACTTCGGTATTTACTCTTAGAAATGTGGTCTTCTCGTGAAAAACAGAGCGCACCTACGTGCGCTGTTTTTTCCGGTCATTAGAAAAGACCGCATGAGAAAAAAATGAATGCTCTAATTTACTCTTTTTAAAGTCATTATTGTTTGCACACCGGTCTGAACACCACAGCCACCAACAGCAGCTGCTGCAGCCTGCAGTGCAGAGCGTTCAGGGAACATCATAAATTCTAGAGTCTGTTGATAAGAAAACGTCAGCAAGTCATATGTTTTGCCTGTGACAAGGTGAGAAGTGCGAACAAATGAGAAAGTTGGTCACACCGGTAGAAAAGTTAATCTGGAGTCCTGTGTGGACTTCCATGTGGCACGAGTATTGTATGGTAAATGGCTACGTATGCAGTGACGTATGGCTTGGCTCTAACTTGACTCCTTGCGGATGGAAAAGCAACAGGTTCTTAGATTGGAACCAACTAAGCACTGGCCCTCACACCAGCATGGAACTAGCACCTGGTGCTTCTTGGTGGAAAAGGGGTATAAGTGTGGCCTCAAACAAGCATCACTGACATCTGTTAGAGTTACTTTTGCCAACTACAACTTTTCTGGGAGAAGCTTTTCAATGAACATTTCTCCATAGCCTTTGTTCCTATACAGATGTATTTCATCATCCTTCAGCTGCATACAACTGTGTAACTAACCAATACAACACTGAACAATACAAGACTGATCCATAGACTGTATAAGAAAGATATATCCAGTGTAAGGACTGATCCAGAACATGCAGTCAAAAGAAACTAAATAAAGGCTGGATGGACACAGTGATGTCTCAACTAGGTACATGTCCATGGATACTTAAAAAAGCACCTTCAGCAACCGTTCCAAAATCTTTATCAGCTTAAGGATTCAAAAGAAAAAGGTCATTAATAAACATCTAAATGAATAAATAATAGTACTAGTAGCCCATCCCAGCTCAAACTATCACAAGGAGGGAAGTGAGGAGAGGAGATAGAAAGATGAGAATTTCTTGCACCCACGTTCATGACTGTGGGAGTTTTCTCAGTTCTCAAAATTCTACTAAAACATTTTACAGAATTTAGTTTTGGGTCCAAAAAACTTTAAACTTTAGGTAATAATATTTAATGCCCTCCATCTCTGCCTGTGCTTAGCTGGCAGATTTCTCTCCCTTTCTTTTCCCTTTCTATTGGACGTGATTGTGTGTGCAGGGACTTGTGTGTGCGGATTGGATAATCACCTGAGAGAACACCTGCCCCAAGGAGTGGCATACTTTTCAGTCATCATCTCATCCACCATAAAAGATGGGCTCTTTCCACCATTCAACACTGGACCATGATGTGACAACATGATCTGTTCCACTCCCTTAAAGTTACTTCACTCTCGACCACCCGACACACACGCCATTCCTCCTGCCTCGTGTCAAGTTTCACCTGACTCTGAATCACCTGCCTGCACTCCAGCCTGAATATTCTCCACGCCCCATCTCCTCTCTTACTTGCTCACATACATATTATGGACATAACTTTTATTCTAATTCTGGCTGTTATGTTTATTGTCCGCACTCGGGTTTCTGATTTCCTGTAAGAATAATTATAGTCATGGTTGTACAAAATATAAGATTCAATTCAATTCAATTCAATTTTGTTTGTATAGCGCATATTTACAACAACAAGTCATCTCATAGCGCTTAACAAAGGCAGAAACACCCAACAATCCAAAACATTTGGATTCCCTATAAGCTTCAGCAGTCCGCAAGCAGTCCGCAACAGTGGGAAGGAACCGAAAACCCCCACAGGGGAAAAAAACCTCAGACAGAACCAGGCTCAGGGAGGGACCAACTGCGCCACCTGACAGCCCATTTTGAAATATTTGGTGATTAATTTTCTGTTGATGGACTTATTGATTAGTCACTTGTTTGCTTCACATATAAAACCAGAGTTTGTGCTGGAGGTACTTCTAGTGGAACAAGTCACAGCAGCAATACACATCATGGTAACCTGTAATGCACCATATGAATCCTGTTTAATAATTATAATAACAGCGTCAAGATCTTTAGTCCTTTTTGAAGTTGTATTTTGTGTTAGGGGCTGCAAGGTGGTGCAGTTGGTAGCACTGTTGCCTCGCAGCAAGAAGGTTGCCGATTCACGTCCCGGTGGGGGCACCGGAATCTTTCTGCGTGGAGTTTGCATCTTCTCCCCGTGTAGCGTGGGTTCTCTCCGGGTTCTCCAGCTTCCCCCCACACAGTCCAAAAACATGTTGAGGTTAATTGGTGATTCTAAATTGTCTGTAGGTGTGAATATGAGTGTGCTTGGTTGTCTGTCTCTAAGTGTAGCCCTGTGATAGACTGGCGACCTGTCCAGGGTGTCCTCTGCCTTCACCCTAAGTCGACTAGGATAGACTCCAGCCCCCCCGCGACCCTTGTGAGGATTAGGTGGTGTATCGAAAATGGATGGATGGATTTTGTGTTAGTTCACAGAAGCAGAAACATGCAGAAATATAGCCTGACATGTTTATTAGCATTTCTTATTGATTAAGATTGTTCTGTTTTAGATTTGGTGACAAAGACAGTTTAGAGTTGATGTAGTGTTTTTTTGTTTGTTTGTTTTTTATCATTTTGAATGATTTCATTTTGAAGAAATTTAGAGTTTCCAATCAACCTATCGTTTGTGTTTTTGGGGTTGTGGGAGGAAACCAGAGTTTCCAGGGAAAACCCACGCAAGCACATGGAGAAAAGGACAACAAACTCCAACAAACAAACTCCACATAGGAACAACCAGCCGGACAGTAGAGAAGGTGGAGGCATCTCTGTGAGGCTGCAGCACTCATCACTGAGCTTCTGTGCTGTCTGGGGGGAGAGAAAGGTGAGAGAAAAAGGGTGAGAAAGTTAGAGAGAGGAAACAGAGCGGGGGATACAAGAAAGAAAGGTAGAGAACGAGTATATCTGTAGATTCACAGTCATCCAGGTCATGGTAATTGTGGGAGCTTCAGCAGAAATCAACTGGATTTGTCTTGCAGGTTCTTGAAGATGTTTCACCTTCACCCAAGAGGCTTCTTCAGCTCTAATAGACTAATGGGGAGTTACAGAATTTACAGTCACTCACATGGCTAATGGCCCATTACTGACCAGGACTCATATGCCTCAAGGTGTGGATTGTTGTAGCACCAGTTGGTCCAACAACAACAACAGCAACCATGGTGGTGAAGCTGCCTGTTTACAAAAAAAAAGGATGTGAATCTGCCATGTCAGGAGTGACTCAAGATGCCTCCTCTGTTTAGAAATGGCTTTTCCAATTTGATGTAGTTGGCTTTCTTCACTTTCTCAAACCATCTGTCCTCTCTGTCCAAAATATGTACATTGTTGTCCTCAAAGGAATGTCTCTGATCCTTCAGATGCAGGAGGATGCTGAGTCTTGTCCTGAGGAGTTGTTCTCCTGTGTTGAGCCATACGCTTGTGACGCTGTTGTTTAGTCTCTCCTATGTACAAGTCTGTGCACTCTTCATTGCATTGGACTGCATATACAACGTTGCTCCGCTTGTGTGTTGGTGTACCGTCAAAACAATGTATACAAATTTGAAGGCTTACATAAAGTTATGCATTCAATTAAGTGGTGGGAATAGGTCCGTCATTTTAGGAAGAGCAGTGTCCCTCCTTGGGGATCAATAAAGTATTTCTGTTCTATTCTATTTAGGCTTGTCATCAGAAGAGTACATGAGGAAATCTGTGTCTCATTCAAAACAGCTGACAGAGTAGCAAGGCTGCAGCTTTGTGTCAAACTCCCGTCTTGCTCATATGTTTTATTAGGCATCACCTCCATTTGGTGTCTCCAGCAAACATTTCAATGACTGGTAATCACTCAGCCAGCTTTCATGGAAGGAAACCACAGACAGTGTGAAAGAGAAAGTCATCAGATGTTGAGTAACCGAGTTCCACGCAGCCAATATAAAGAACATTTCCCGGAATAACAGTGCAACCACAAATCCAGCAACTGACAAAACGAAGCAGTAAAAAGCCTGACAAGAAAGTGCTGTTTCATATAAATGTTGCATGCTACACTGTACAGTACAGTCAAGTTAAAACATGGCTCATGTGTTGTCAGAAATAACCTGGGTCTCAGCTCACACAGCTGCAGAAAACACTACTGAAAACACAATGCAGTAATAACACAAAGGATTTAGCAAACTATCAGAAACATTAGGGAAAAGCAGGGAAGACGTGTTTACATAGACGTCT